TCAGTTCAAACGCCGCTGCTTTTTGAGGTGCAGCCGAAGCTTCCGGCTTTTTCAACATCTCACAGGAGACGTGAGACCAACGCCCGTGCGCCATCTTGGTCCTGCGTGAGCTGCGCCACTAGCCTCAGGCCAGTAGCTGTTTCCTTACGTCCTAATTGGTTTTTGAGACCAAAACCAGGGGCGACGTTGGGAGTCTTTGGGCTCCTTGCAACATCGTAAACATTTATTGCACCGGTGTGTATGTTAAAAAAAGAGAAGAAAAAAAAGGCGCTTGGATGTGCGCTAGCGAGAAAGGCGAAGGAAACTGACCAGCCGTAGACTCGGCTTGGGTGCACCCGCCCGCGGCACATGTCCCTGTCTTGCCGGCGATATGGAACAAACAGAGAACGCAACTAGGAGCAGGACTCAAGCGCTGCCAACGCAGTTTTCAGGACGTTGAAGAATGGTCAGTAGCCATTCAAGAGCCATGAGCAAGTGCCGTGAGATGCAGTCGCAGTCTTTTACTTAGCTGTCCTTCCCTTGCGTGAGACCGAAAAGAAGCCAACTGAGGACATCAAGCTCTGCTTGCAAAGCTCAGAAGAACACTCAGCAGCTGTAGACAAGAAGCAGATTGATCCCTTTATCCTCTCGTCCGGTAAAAGATCACTGCACCGCGCCCCAAGCAAACTCCGTGCAAAGGGCACATGATCTCAGGATTCATGCCTGGTTGCATAAACGAGCCCTCCGCAGCTTTGGTTCTCGTTCAAGGCGCTTTCAGGTTTTAGGAATGCTTGGGGGGAATTAGCAGGGATATAAAGGGAATCGAGGAAGAATCCCGATGAAGAATGGGAATGAATGTGGCCAGGATAAACCAATGATGTCCCTGCTTCCGCCGTACTGCTAGTTGGTTCTTCTGAAAATATGGGTTGCTCGCACCCCCGAACGAGCAAAAGTTTGGTGACGACCTTCTGTAGGTCGATTGAACATGTTTTTCCCCAAAGGTTGACCAGGAGGTCACACCCTTGAGACTAGCCATGATACAAGCAGCAAAACAGCATACACACACACACACACACACACGCAAACATGTTGGGTTTTGTCACACCCCAGGAAGGTCTGAGTCCAGCTGCTCATTGGCCAGACCGGACGCCACCTCCCGGAAGGTGCTCCCTGCCTGAGCAAGAGCCACTGAGGTGGTGTTGCAGGGTCAAAGTGAATCCCGATGGGGTCTGTGGTTTGTGTACTTCCCCCCCATTTTTCCGAAGGTCCGACCTGGTGTTGGCGGCTTTCCTGGGTAAAACCTTGTCGGTGGGTTGTTCAACTGGTTTCTCGGGGTAGCTGTCTTTGATGGCGCTCAACATCAACTCCTAAAACCAACTCAAAGGGCTGCTCCGAGCCTCTGGGGGAGACTTTTTCTGGGGCGACCCACTCACAGGAACTGGACAAGCTGAGGGCTTCCCTTTTGCACCGCAAAACAGCGACCCCATGGAACACTGAACCAAGAGGGATTGAGCAAATCGAAACACGTCAAAGTGAAGCCGCCGCTGTGCTTCCAAGTACGTGATACAGCCCTTTTGCGTGTTGCTAGTATGCTGCGAAACCAACTGTAAACTGGATTTGCCACAAGCAACGTTTCTGGAACCCAAACAGAAAACACATACCCCCTCCATTGGAGAGCGACGATAAAAAGAAACCTGGTGCTCAAAACCTCCATGCTAATAATGTGTCCACCACTTTCTTATAACCCCAAGTGTCCTTATTGTCCTTTGGGATTCATGTGCCGCATGCCATCACCTTTGCTACAGTAGATGAATGAGAATCTCGTCTGTTGCTCACGAAAGATCTGTCAGCAGCCTCCCTTCAGCGTCGCTAGCTTCCCCCTTGGTGGTTTAGATTGTACTTGCCTCGAAACCACCACTCATTAGACGCAGATGCCCCAACAAAACACGACTTGTGCTGGGACCACGAGTGCTGCCAGAGTGCGGCGGCGGAATAACCCGAGCCCGAGCCTCAGTTTCAGCTCACGCTCTCCCTCTTTCTTGCCAATCTGGGAAATGAAACAGGACACCAACATGACACGACCCGTTTGAAGGAACACAACTTGATTGGGTTGGTCCAAATGAGCCAAGGACGGTCCTTTGCCTGGTGATTTGGTGGCGAAACGGTCGTGCAACAAGTTCACAGAACAAGCTGGATCAGTTTGATCTGTCGGACTCCCTGTCAAGTATAGTCTTCCCAGGTACCCCAAACAGTTAGTTTGATGTAAAGATTGGCCTACCCAAAACCCATGTTAAAAGGAATTGCGCATTGCGCCTGTGTCTCTCAGGTTCAATCTATGACACCGGCCCGAAAGGGCACCCGCGGACGGAACGTCCAACGCAGAAAACTGTTCCTGTGTTCTTTGGGGATTCCATCCAGTGTGTCCCGCTTGCCCACGGACAATCATGGACAATCGTCTTTTTCCACCCAGCAGAACTAAATATAGAATTTGAAAGGACCTTTATCAGCGAGCTCATCTAACCCACGATCAGTGACCTCGCTGTGGTGCAAATATTGATTTCCCTAACGGGGCCACACTCCCTCTCTCTCTCTCTCCTTGGCCCCGGGCGGCTCGCCATGCCCTGTGCGCCAGCATTCGCCGAGCAGGAAGTGGATACGGTGGAAATGGAGTTGTTGCTTTTGGGCTGCATTTCCGGGCAAACCTTGCGCTACAAAAGAACATATCTTGGCAACATGGCCCTTCCACGCATCCAACGCTCCCTTTTGGATGGCCGTCGTCCAAAACGGGACATGCAGACTGGCCGAAGCTTCTCTCCTCACTACTTCCTTGCAGCGCGGAAGGCACACGGGGAGCGTGGGTTTGACCTGCAGGGAAAGAGTGGCGAGGGAGCACTGTGCCGACGTAGCTGCAACATGATATGTCAGCCCCTATGCTAACAGCCGTCCCTTAAGGTACGATCAGAAGAGATTTGGACCCAAAATATGAAGCAGAACCGCCTCTGTCAAAGGATCAAGGACAATATCATTCTGAGGAGCAAAGCAGAAGGGACGCCCTTGGGCAAGAACAGCGGGAGCAAGAGTCTTGCAACGCAGTCTTTTCTGAAGCGTAAAAGCGCTGAACAAGGGGATGTTGCGCCAATCAGCAATACGTTGCACAACATCTTCAAAGGTGACGTATATTTTGCTGGGGTGCTTGCCGCTTGCAAGATACTCGTCATGAATATTGCAAAGATATCTGAAAGAGGCTGGCAGAACATCGTTCTTCACCAGTCTCCAGCCTTTTCGCATACTCCCAACAGCAGGAACACCATTGATTACTTTGACAATTGTTGGTTCGCCATGCAGAAGCTCCTTGTCGAAGTCTTGAAAGTGTAACATAGCGAGTTTTCCCAGAGCATTCGAAACTTCCAGGTAACCTCCTTGGAGGTATTCTTGAGAGCCCTGGCATTGTCCATGAAGGGAGTATCTGTGCCACAAATAAGAATGCAGAAAAGAAGAAGTTCCATCCAAGTGGGTTCATGACCATCAAAATGAAACTCGCCGTGGTCATGGCTTCCTAGAAACCTTGAGAATTGTGGTCTACGTCCGAACTACAGGGTCCATGACCATCCTAATACCCCCAAGAGGTGACTTTTGACCATGGCACGCATACAAAACAACAAGTACCAAGCCCCACAACTGGACAGTGAGGGTGGGGGGTGACCGCCGAACCGCCTTGACGCAGGTGCCGGCCTCTCTCAGGAGCTTCGGGGCGGTTCCCCCTTAAGCCAATGCAAGCCGCCCACGTTCAACGGGTCACTGGGGCTCACATTGTCCAGCGTTAGCATCACCCGGGACACTTGACTAGGTCCTCCAGTAGAGAGGTTAGAATAAGGGTACCCTTTTATTCTGTAGTCTATTTTAGTAGGGGAATCCTCCCCAAAAACAGGGGGTAAAAGGGCACTACTGGGGGACCTAGTTGACATGAGTAAACCCATGCTTTGGAGGAAATTGACAGTGGCAAAAGTGAATCTATGAACCAAGGGCCAGATGTGGGGGCAACGTGAATACTTGCTCCTGTTGGGGCATCTTGTGTCTCATTGCTGGGTTGGTCCCACTGAGTCCCTGCGCCAAGTGGCTAGCTGCTTGCAATCTCTTCTGGTACTCTCAGCTCATTTCATTCTGGCATCCGAACAACTAGAATAACAAAAGCACTAAGAACGTGTAGGTTTCATGTGCTTGCCTGCAGTTTCCTGCGGACACCCCAGCCGATGTCCACCTGTTTGAAACCATTTGCCTTGGATCAAACCGTTGGAACATGCCAGCAATTGTACAGACCGAAAGGTGATGCCGTTGGTCCCAAACAGCTGGTGCACACATGCTACTGAGAGACCTGGGAGTTGAGTCAAGGCACCATATGCCACAGAGGCTCAACATGCTGGCATACCTAGTGGCTTTCTCTGTTACCCACGGTAGCCAGTTCGAAATGCTTTGGGCCTGCTCGCAATCCGCAATCCGCTTAATCCTTGTTTTGCTTGGTAATATTCTTATAACGTAATCCGCGATGCTAACTTTGGGCCAAAACGACATGTGTTGGAGCATGGAAGATCCGCACAATCCGCAATCCTCTAATCATTGGGGATTAGATGTTAAACAAGCTAGTGCCACTCCCGTTGGCGTCACAACAGAAAACTCCAGCGCTCACTGGCGAAACGAGCCGGCTTTTTTGGCCAACTCGCGACATCTCTGTGAACGCGAACGTCCTATGCCTGCTCCTGACAATGGCCAGGAATTCGGGAGGTTCTGCTTTTGGACACATGGCTGTCAATATCACTTGGACGTTTTTGAAAAGCATTCCAACACGTTCCCGCCGTCCCACTGCTCACTGCCGTGGAAGCTGACTGGGGGTTGAAGAGGAAAGATGTCCAAAACAAGGTCTTTTGTAAGGTGCCATGGAACCGTGGGTGTGAAGGAAGCAGCAAGAAATGTAGTAGCCCGCTTTGAACTTGGAATCCATCAGATCATCACGTTCAGTTCTGTGACCCCCCCCCCACCATCATGGAGTAGCGTCCCAGAATATTCCGAACCAGCCGCCGGAGACCCGTAGTGAAAAGGGCGCGAGGCGCAAGGCGCGGCGGAGCAAGTTCTGCGCTAGCTTCAGCTTGACTCGAGGGCACGGTGCGTCCATTTTTCCCTTGGGCAACCCTTAGGCAAACCAGGCTTAAAAAAGACAAAAGGACGACTGCACAGGGTGACCTACCGACCTACCATAGTGCCGGTCTGAACAACCCTACCAAGCAACGTTGGTTCCGGGCCTTGGGCCCATTGCCAAGATCCTCAATATGGACAGTCCGAGACATAAGCAGTGAAACCTTTGGCTTATTTGGGCAGAGACCCCATAGCTTTCAGCCGGACAAAAGACTGCTATCTACCATTGAGGGTGTTCCTTATTGAAACTCAAAGCTAACTCTATGTGGTGAGGTGAAACCCGAGTCTGCTGCATGTCTGATTCATGTTGGTCTTGGGACTAAGCCTTAGCAGTTGGTGCTTTTGACATCGAGCGCATCCTGATCCCTGGAAGTGGCCATCCGCCAAGCGAGAACAAGGCCGTCAAGCTAGTGCGACTACACGCTGACATACCAGGTGACGTGTTGCCCAGAAATTGAAGGGTTTCCCTGGTGAATAAGCTGGTGGAACCCATCTGATTTCTAGCCCAACTCATCAAAAGCGAACACAAACCACATGGCCATGGGTCAAAAGCCCGTACCCCCAGTGAACTGCCCAATCCCCACTAAAAATAGGCTCTAAAAATGGGTGGTGAATTCACCTACCAACCAAAATGGGATCCCAAAACGGTTTTGACAACCACGGCCACATCAAGCCCCCAAGCAGCCCTCACGTCAGACTTCCAAGCGCCGACGTCAGACTTCCAAGCGCCCAAAGTTGGCCACTCTCAGGTGCAGCTCCAGCTGCCGCAAGTCCACCTAGCGAGCGAGCTTCGGCATTGGAGAGATCGACGCTGGTGGATGGACCGAGCCTCAAAATACCAACTGAAATTTTGGGTGGGTGAGTCGCAAACCAAGAATTTTGTCGTACCTGCCATGACTTCAAAACGAACAAGGAATGCGATGGGAACGGGCCCTACAGGGTTGCTCCCAACATCTTGCGGACCATAGCCACCTGCAGGAAATCCAAAGAAACTACATGGACCCTCAACCCCCCCGTAAAAATGATAAGTTGCCAACCACAATGTTAGGGCTGCTACAACCAATTTTTCAGGGGATGTTGAGGGTCAAGAAAGAAACTAAGCCAATTCTCCCAGGCTTCATGCCTGGAATAACCTGTATTCCAGCCCAATTGAGCGCACAACGCCACATGTTAACGCCAATTTCTGCTTTACCGGTCTCGTTGCACGGCTAAATCCATCAACACGTGTAACCACATTACTTGGCTGAGCCTGCTAGCCATTCCATGCTACAGCAACATCGAATTCACAGCGACGGACCATTGTCCTCTGCTTTGCATCTATCGGCGCGGGCTATGAGCAAACACCGCACGACGCTATGACAACCATGCAACAAACAGCTATGGTGTGACTCTCATGTTGATCGCCTTCTCTTAGGGGAACGGGCATCCACAGAGCACTGCGCAACTGCGACACGGCCCTGCCCAGCAGTAAGATGCAATGGTTTAGCACCCTGGTTAGTCACCTTCTCTTTGTCAGCACCGGCATCCAGCAAGCGCTCCACAACTGCCTAATCACCCTGCTCAGCAGCAAAATGCAACGGTGTGGCGCCCTCGGTGTCTGCTGTCTTCGTCTGCACCGGCATCCAGCCACCATGTTACTACTGCCTAATTGCCCTGCTCAGTACCAACACGCAATGGTGTGGCGCCCTCATTGTTCGCCTTCTCTTCTTCTGCACCGGCATCCAGCAACCAGTTTACTACTGCCTGATCGCCCTGCTCAGCAGCAACATGCAACGGTGTGGCGCCCTCATTGTTTTTCCTTCTCTTCGTCTGCACCGGCATCCAGCAACCAGTTTACTACTGCCTGATGGCTCTACTAGTAGTAACATGCAACGGTGTGCCGCTCTCATTGTTCGCCTTCTCTTTGTCTGCACCGGCATCCAACAACCATTTTACTACTGCCTGATTGCCCTGCTCAGCAGCAACATGCAACGGTGTGGCGCCCTCATTGTTCGCCTTCTCTTTGTCTCCACCGGCATCCAGCAACCATTTTACTACTGCCTGATCGCCCTGCTCAGCAGCAACATGCAACGGTGTGGCGCCCTCATTGTTTTTCCTTCTCTTCGTCTGCACCGGCATCCAGCAACCAGTTTACTACTGCCTGATGGCTCTACTAGTAGTAACATGCAACGGTGTGCCGCTCTCATTGTTCGCCTTCTCTTTGTCTGCACCATCCAGCAACCATTTTACTACTGCCTGATTGCGCTGCGCAGCAACATGCAACGGTGTAGCGCCCTCATTGTTCGCCTTCTCTTTGTCTGCACCGGCATCAGCAACCAGTTTACTACTGCCTGATGGCTCTGCTAGTAGTAACATGCAACGGTGTGGCGCCGTCATTGTTTGCCTTCTCTTTGTCAGCACCGGCATCCAGCAAGCGCTCCACAACTGCCTAATCACCCTGCTCAGCAGCAAAATGCAACGGTGTGGCGCCCTTGGTGTCTCAGCAACCATGTTACTACTGCCTGATTGCCCTGCTCAGTACCAACACGCAACGGTGTGGCGCCCTCATTTTTCGCCTTCTCTTTGTCTGCACCGGCATCCAGCACCATTTTACTACTGCCTGATTGCCCTGCTCAGCAGCAACATGCAACGGTGTGGCGCCCTCATTGTTCGCCTTCTCTTTGTCTGCAACGGCATCCAGCAACCAGTTTACTACTGCCTGATGGCTCTGCTAGTAGTAACATGCAACGGTGTTGTCTGCACCGGCATCCAACAACCATTTTACTACTGCCTGATTGCCCTGCTCAGCAGCAACATGCAACGGTGTGGCGTCGTCATTGTTTGCCTTCTCTTTGTCTGCACCGGCATCCAGCAACCAGTTTACTACTGCCTGATGGCTCTGCTCCGTAGTAACATGCAACGGTGTGGCGCCCTCATTGTTCGCCTTCTCTTTGTCTGCACCATCCAGCAACCATTTGACTACTGCCTGATTGCCCTGCTCAGCACCAACACGCAACGGTGTGGCGCCCTCATTGTTCTACTGCCTGATTGCGCTGCGCAGCAACATGCAACGGTGTGGTGCCCTCATTGTTCGCCTTCTCTTTGTCTGCACCGGCATCCAGCAACCAGTTTACTACTGCCTGATGGCTCTGCAAGTAGTAACATGCAACGGTGTGGCGCCCTCATTGTTCGCCTTCTCTTTGTGTGCACCATCCAGCAACCATTTTACTACTGCCTGATTGCCCTGCTCAGCACCAACACGCAACGGTGTGGCGCCCTCATTGTTCGCCTTCTCTTTGTCTGCACCGGCATCCAGCAACCATTTTGCCACTGCCTGATGGCCCTGCTCAGTAGTAACATGCAACGGTGTGGTGCCCTCATTGTTCGCCTTCTCTTTGTCTGCACCGGCATCCAGCAACCAGTTTACTACTGCCTGATGGCTCTGCAAGTAGTAACATGCAACGGTGTGGCGCCCTCATTGTTCGCCTTCTCTTTGTGTGCACCATCCAGCAACCATTTTACTACTGCCTGATTGCCCTGCTCAGCACCAACACGCAACGGTGTGGCGCCCTCATTGTTCTACTGCCTGATTGCGCTGCGCAGCAACATGCAACGGTGTGGTGCCCTCATTGTTCGCCTTCTCTTTGTCTGCACCGGCATCCAGCAACCATTTTACCACTGCCTGATGGCCCTGCTCAGTAGTAACATGCAACGGTGTGGCGCCCTCATTGGTTGCCTTCTCTTTGTCAGCACCGGCATTCAGCAAGCACTCCACCACTTGGAGATGGCCGCTTGCTGAAGCACGAAGCAAAGGCGTGACAAGGCTGTTTTCTGCCAGCATTGGGATCATGAGGCTTCCAATGGGCAACTGGGAATCTCTTGCCAGGTGGCGTCGCAACAAATCGAACAAGCAATCCCCACCTTCCTGTCCGCACAGCTCTGTCCAGCTCGTCCCGCCATTGGGAATACTCCGCCGTCGTCATCACATCTGTGCTATCTAGCAAGCGAACGCACGCCATGAGTGAATTGGGCACGCCTGGGTTTGAGCTGAACGCATTTCATGCATTGCATGTCAGTCAGCCAGCATGTATCAATGCGTCAAAGACAAGCCTACAATTCTGAGCAAACGCGCAAACACACACACACACGGGAAAAAGAAGAAGAAAAAAGACGCACGTAAGCACATTTCAGACTCCACATCACTACACCAAGACTTGTTGTTCTCTGGCCGTTCCAAACGGCACCCCTAAATCGAACAAGCAGTTGCTCGAAATCTCAACAATGTCCCCATTGTCTTGATCCTGGTTTTCGTCGAGAAAATGGCAACATCCTCTGCTCATTTGCTCGCCCAACCACCGGCCATATAAGGGGTCAAAGTTCAAAGTTTAGATTTGATGGGCCTTTTTCCGTAGAGTTTTTTTTGGGGGAGCCAACGCCTCTACTCCAGATTCCCATCCAAGTTCCAAAATAAGAAGACACCACCATGCAACAAGAAACAAAGAACCTGGACCCTCAAAATACCCATAAAACATGAAATTCACCAACAACGATTTTGGGGCTAGAACCCATAGGGGAATTTTGAGGGTCTAGGAACACAATTCATGCCAGCTTCGGAATCCGGACACTCTGAAGAATCCATTTCCCGAATATAGACTCCGCACTTGCAGAGCCACCACGGCTTCCAAGGACACGCCCAAGCACTGGCCATGTTTCCCCTTCTGGGGAGCTCACAGAACGCGACGTGTTTTGGTCCCTCCAAATGGCCCCGCAGGTCCGAAACCTTCCCAAGGTCCCATTGAGCCCTCTCCAATGGAGCGTCTTTTCTGATGTTTACATCCCGTGGCTTCCCTTCACCCAAACAAATCGTGCGAATTGATTTCAGCGGAATGCATTTCACGCATCGCAATGCATGTTGAATCCTGTATCGAGTTTGCCTCGTCCAACGGCCCGTTGTGGCCACAGTCCACGTGCATGGCGTAGCCAGCCATCGACCTGCGCGAACTCCGAACCGTGCCGGTAAACTCAATAGCCCTGGATCAAGAAGGAATATCTGCAATTCCCCTTGAATCAAACCAAGCCCCACGTGCCTTCAGACAAAAAACTTGAACATAGGATCCGCCACAAGGGTGATTGACTGAGCTTAAACTTGGTGATGACCCCCTTTTATTCCTCTCATTGACTTTGGCTCGTAGTTAATCATGATAGTTCCCCACCCCGAAATCGCAGGCCATATTTCCCAAGCAAGGATTAATGAAGATTCAGGCCACACTTCGCCCTATGGTGCTTTGAGTCCTCGTTTGGGCGGACGTGCTGGACACCGGCGCCAGCTTGAGCTAGAATGCTCCCTGTGACCTCTGCCTGAACTGCTCGAGAGAAACCCTCTCAACTCCCTTTTGAAAGCGACCGACATGTCGCAATGAGACAACAGCCACGACATCACAACATTTGGGTCCGGCACCTCAAACAAGCTGCGAACCCCGCCTGACCTGAAATGTCATAATCCGTAAGAAATGTGACCCAAGAAAGGTGGCTTCATCACGGACATCACAAACTTCCGGTCATCGAGGTCGCAATAATTGAAACACCGACCATCCGTCGATTTCACGCTTCCTGACGGTGAAGCCGGCCCATTTTGTAGATGGCGTGTTTGGATGCGTCTTTTACCCTTCTCACGTGAACTTCCCAATGGCTGGTTGCCTTTTGAGGTTTCGACAACGCAATGGGCCCAGGTCAGTGGGAAAACGGGACACCCGTCTTGAATCGCTCACGTCAAGTTCACGCTTTGAGCGGGAGGTCTCCAAGGAGACCCATCCAGAGGAGAGAGACCTTCGAGGAAACTTGCGGGGAGGGGGGGGGGGGAACATGGGCAGCCAGTGATGCGAAAACATAAGGCGAAAAGGGAAATATTAGGAACACCTGCCGGTGAGTAAGTTTCGCCCTTTTGCATCAGAAATGTAGCTTCTTGTCACAAGTACTGTAACCTTGGTGAGGGGCGAGTTGATGTTTGAGTGCATGCTTCACCCACTTACGACGGGAGCGTTGCCCCCGCTCACGTGTCTCGCCCATCGGGCATGCAAGTGGCCATGGAGCTTCTCCCTCGTCTCAAGTATCCCTGGGCGACCAAAAGGCGCGTTCGACATGGCCCGCTCGGTCCTCTCGGGTGGTTTGGTTTGGCGGCTTGGAGGTGTTCTTTAGGACAAAGAGGTGCACATCCAATCACAACGTCCAAACCGCCTGAGGGAGCAGCTGAAAAAAAAAAGCGACCCCCCAAGAAAAAAGGCCCACGCCGTCGCCTGTCGATCACTGGCCGTGGCTCCTGCACCTGAGGATGCTGCAAAAGGGGAAACTGGGGGCTGGTTGGACCAGGGATTTATCAAACCAGGTGATTCACGGAGCCATCCTATTCATCCTATTGAATTGATAAACCAGGGTTCGGTTGAACAAGGAGGAGGATGGGTCTGGAAAGGAACAGCTTTACACCAGCCCGCTCACCGTTGAGTCGTCCCTTCCAACTGTCCAAGCAGTGTGACCAGGCTATGCCTTGGGAAACAGATGGAGAGTGTAAAGGAAGGGTGTGGAGCCAGGATGAAGCGATGAATGGCTCTCTCTCTCTCTTTTTCCTCTCTATTGACCACTGCCTTTAGATGCTGACCCCGGATTAATGAACCCATCCTAAAGGGGTGTTCCCCTTCAAAATTCCAAGAACCCCCCCCCTTCCCCCTCCACAAAAAGGGGGCCCACTATATTCATCAACCAGAGGCTTATCAGGGATTCCCTGTAACTCTAACATGGTCTGTGATGTCCCGTCCGATTCTCTTCAAATCCCAAATAATAAGGATATCATCAAACACACACACACACACACCCATGTGGGTGCTCATTTGTTCGGACTGTGGGCCATGTTGGTGCAGTTTCCTCACATGAGAATCCTTGCGTGTACCCCCAAGCAGTGACACATATGCTGCTTCCAGAGTGTCCCTGGTTTTGGCCAGAGTTTTCGCCCCCCCCCCCCCGCCCCTATTCCTGCCAAATCAGGTGATCGAACAACAATGCCTCTGTCAACCTCAATCAGAGTCAGTATGCACTGACCTGCTAAGTTAACTGATTAAACAAGTTTGAACTTTTTGGACCTTCACTAGAAAAATGGACAAACCCACCAGCACAAGGTGTTCAAGTTTGGTCACTCAGGCAAGGTTTGCTCAGAACTGGGCTGGGTTCCGGCACGAGCCTTGCCACTGCCACTTTGAGGCTCCCACGGAGTTATCTAAGGTGCTAGCAAGGTCCACACTCCTTGGCTCACATCTTCCTCCGGATGAATCAACCCAAGTTTCGGGGGTGTCCCTGGGCTTTGCGTGGGTAATCAGACCTAGGACGGGTGGTAGTACTTTCCGGGGTCACCGGATTAGGGACCGCAGCCCCAGTCAGACCCCCCGGGTTCGGGCTAGGCTTAGCCTCGGAAATTTTGCCTTACCCATGGGGCTTAGGGGAGTTGGTAGCCTGGATTGTTATTCCCTCTTGTGTTTGTTCAACCATCGTTCTTTTGAGAAACCACAATCAATGTCCCTTCCCAGTTGGGTCTTGGTCATTTTGGCCTTCAGATTTGGCGTCCGAGGGGCAAGGGCTTGATTCTGAAAAGAAGTATGCCTGGAAAGTGGGAGATACGACTAGCCAAGGTTACAACCCTTGCAGGGTGAACTCCTCGTGGTTGCCATCCATAAACCGGCCATGAGTCTGTGCGGGGGTTGGGGTCATGTTGCTGTTCCTTTGTTCACATGTCCGCCTTTTGAACATCCGTATTCTCTCAGGGGTCAATGGGGTGAACGCCTGGGCAGCGAAGCCCGAAATTTTAAGGGGGTCCGTTTGGCTTCCCTTTGCCCTAAGGGTCTGCGACTCTTTTCGGACCCTCCAACCAGTTGTTGTTCCTCCCTGCCGGGCCATTCAATGGCGTCCAAACCATGTACCCCTCGGTAGGTGCCCCTTCAATGTGCCACAGCTCAATACATAATTGGTACACGTGTAATAAAAAAGGCCATGGGTCAAAATCCAAATCGTACCCCAGTGAACATCCCAATCCAACCACTAAAAAAGACTAACATGAGTGGTGCACCTACCCCAAAATGGTTGAACCACAGCCATATAGCCATCCAACGGGATACCGGATGGCCTGCCAAACGCGGTGGTCCCCGTTGAAGTTGCTCCTCAAAGATGAACCCCCAAAATCGTGGTTGTCCTGTGGCTTCCCTCCAAAAACCACCCAACAAAATGACGCAAAGAAGAGTTCAGTTGTTTGACATCGACCAGGCCGATCCACAAAAAGAGGGTACCAACTCAAACAAAAAACGGATCCCCACGCAAAAGAGGTCAAAAAAGATCAGCTGCCCAGCTGAGGCGCTTGAAAAATCCTGCCAGCAGGGCAACGAAGTTCCCGATCTCGTCCAGGTGCAACAGGACCTGTGAAGCGGACGAGACGATCTATGCTTGCCCTGTTTTCTGTCTTTGAAGGGAAATCAAACGGAAAACCATATTACTGTTATGTTTTGCAATTGGGGTCCCCTCAAACAAGACAGACCCACATGGGGCTTGAGATGCGAATAGAACTTTTTGGATTATTCCAGCATCACCTTTTGGAATGGCAGGACACGTCCCGTTTGGCCAGGGCAAAGGAGCTCAACGAGATTTCCCCTAACACTCGACCGCACTTGGGCCAGTCTTTCAGATTTGCTTTGGGCTGCCAAATTGACATGTGTTGGTGGTTGAAATGAAAGGGGCCCAATATTGTTGACCTCTGTGCTGCCTGTTTTCTCGTTAATGACATTCATCTTGGGGGACAACCAAACCCAACCCCACTCGTACCTAAACTCACAACGCCTCACGAACATATGGACCCCCATGGACCCCCGCCATGGACCCCACCCCCAGCCCAAGACCCCCAAGCCCTTTAAGCGGAAATATGGTGATCCCTGGTCCCGGGCGGTACGCACCAGTCGGTCTAGCAGCTCTTGCTGGTCGCCTGGCCGGACCAGATTTTGCCTTAAGTGCCACAAAGAAACGGTCCCTTCTCAAGGCAAATCGTCTTCCGGGATCTTTCAGTCAGGTTCCATGTAAGTGGACAGAAGGGTATGTAGCTTGTTTCTTGATATTTGGGAAGTGTTGGTTCTTGCCTTTCCTCGTTTGGGATCTTATCGATGTGGTCTTCCTTCGTTCGTGCGTTTACCTTTTGATTTGGGGTGAGGGTCCCGTCTCTGGGTGTAAGGGATGGGTCCTACGCTAGCGAACGAACTCGCTTCCTGGACCCGAGGACTCCAGATCCAACCGTTCCGCGTTCTTTTTGAGATATGGAAAAGTCTCAGAACCGTACGGTTCCGCGTTGACGTGAGCCTATCGGAGCCAGCCTTTGATCATTCGGAGCAACCCTGAGCAACACTCACGTCGCCAGGAAACGTGTCGATGTGCTTAGTCGCCTGACGTGAAAATATTGCCAGTCATTTTGCTGAAGTTTCTCTAAAGCGGGACTTCGAAATAGCTCACTCGCTTTGTCGGCACTCATGGCTGGGTTCTAACCTGGCTAAACACAGACACCAACTTGACAACGAACACCCAAGCTGGCCTGCCCTGACATCCTGGGCGAAACATGCCGGATATCCCAGAGCAACCGTGAAGCTTCGTAGCACCTCTCCTATTTTCCCTAAAATGAATTCGTGATTAGCAAGTCTTGCGCTACGAGGATGACTCCGCGTATCGCTGGAAGCAAAGCAGTTCAATTGGCATCTACATGAACGTGCGGGTTGATGTTGGGCAGCGCCTCAAAGGGCTTCTCCCTTCTTGCACCATTCCCGAGCCCGTTCCACCCGGCAGTGCTTCATGTACTTCATCCAAGCGCAAACCTATGGGAAGGTGTCAACAGAGTTGACTTAATTGAAATTGAAATGATTGTTTTCCCGTGATATCCACTACCCTGCTATCTGCCCAACTTGTCCTTTGGACCTTTCACAGCCAAAAGTCATCACGTTAATGCTACTGGCTCAAGAGATACAGCACTTCCTTGGGTCTCCACCCACCACTAAACGAAAACAACAAGCAAGTTGAGTAAGAGGATAGATGAAGCAGAGACCCGTGCAAAAAGCAAACAACTCACACAACATAGATGCACAAATAAAATACAAACATACGCTGAGACGCCAGCTAATACTTGAACGCATGATCATACATGTAACTTCATACACCGACAAATCTATAGTATCAACGACTCAACAACTATACGTCAGACCTCAACCACTTTGGCACACGCAAACATTCTCATGTTCAGCGCCTTGCACTGAGAGGTTCCTCAATGCGCCCTGCAAAAGGCTTTGACCTCGGCATTGCAATGAGTTGGTCCAAAGGGCGCGTGGCTGGTGGGCATAAACCCTCATCAAAGTGATGCCCCACCAAAGCGTCCCTAAATGAAACTTACGCGCATATACAGCAAGCTACATCTTGAGGTCTTAGACCCATGCCCACAATTATTGCTAGCAGATAACACAGATACCCAGCAACATCATCCAGGAAAGCAGCAAAAACAGAAAGGCAGACAACTGGCCACATAGCTGGCAACTCCAATGTACACCCCTCAGGTTCTTGGGTGGTGAAACCACGTGCATGTTCGTCGACTTATTCGCAACATTACTTTTTGGTGAGGCCTCAGACCCTTGCTGAAGGTCAAAGCCTGAATTTGCTCGGGAGTCAAATCCAAAGGTCGGACTCGTCCATGCTGCGGATCGGCTTGGAATTGAGGATAGGGATCCCTGTGGCCCCCACCGAGTTCCAACATCAACTTGCTGAAAAACACGTACCTGCTTCAGGTTCCCTAAAAAGAACCAAGGCCTATTTATCATTTTAGTTTACATCCGATTCTCACCTTGCCATCTTCGCCATCTGATCCTTCCGCTTCGAAGCGCGGGCCGGGCCGTCCGGGCGTCTCCGGAACTCCCGCGAGACCACGGTGACCCGCATCCGCGCCAGTTGCCGGTGGAACTGCGCCAAGGTGTCCTAGGACAGCAGAACGAAAACTCCCACTTACGGCCGCTAAAATTGCGCCTGTTTTAAGGAATTGCAGGGGAGTTAGGGGGAAATTGGAAAAGAAGCCATGAATGGTTGGATGGGGAGGGGGAATCCTTCAGTGGCAAGCTCACACAAGGTGTGTGTGTGTGTGTATGTCCCCTAGTCATACTTTTGGCTACTCCCTACACAAAGGAAGGAGCCCAAAGAACCGCCATTTCTTGCGGAAACTCCGTTTGGCACCCCGTTTCTGGGCGTGAAAAGTTGGAGAGCATCCCGCCCTGCAATTCAGGAGTAGCCAATCCAAAGCCCTCGGCACAAGCCGGAGGAATAGACACTGTTCGGTAACCCATGTTTCTACTTGGAATCAAACTCATTAGGTAACCCTGAGAAACAAAGACCCCGCAACCCAAAACTACCATCAGGTTACCCCTAGACTAAAGTGTACAGGGGCAGGCAAAACCCTGCATGTGCGACTTTATCCCTTGCATGGGGGAGAAACTGGAAATCAACCTCACAATGGCTTTCCCGAACATGGACGTGGTGTCTCGATATATGGGCGACTCCCAAAATGGTGGTGGTCCCTTGGATTCCATTAACAAACACTCCCAAAAGGGTTCGATTTGTTCAACACTCACTTGCAGGGGTCAATCTTCAGGGACCAGGTCGATTAATTTTGAGGCGCTACAGTAGGGCAACTTCATGGGAATGGGAATGGGAATGGGGTGGGATACTTTGAAACTTTGTCATTATTATTAAGAGCAATCGCACCTTGCGATGTGAGGCTTGCGATTCAGAAACAATCCATGAGTCATTATGCACCTGGACCCTCAACATGCCCAAGAATTGGTTGTTGCCCTACATGGAAACTCGGTGCTTCAGGGTCGTTAGGGCGCCCTGTAGCCAGGATCTGGGGCCACCGGCCGGGTGCAGCGTCTTCAGCAGCTCTGCCACCCGTGCTGGGCCTCAGCACGCAATCCATGGGTCTGTCCTTTTTTAGGGGCCCTCAAATTGGTGGTTTCCCTTGTGGTTGTCCTTTACAACCCACCCACAAAAGGTGCCAAAACAAGGCAAACCCATATTTGTACATACTGGACAACATCCGCTTCGCACCAGTGGATGGTGGTCCATCCCACCCTGGTGATTGGGGAGGCAAGTCCATTTCAGATGGAGGGAACCTGTCACGAAATGACCAGGGCCCCCCCAAAATGGCTCAGCGATTTTCCTTTTTCCTTTGGCCATGAAAAAGGGCCACCCCGCCTCAGACTCACTTTGGACCTCTTCCCGAATTTCATCCGAAGCTCGTGTCAGCATCTCTTCCCAGGACACTGGAACCAAAAGAAGGCTACCTCAAGGAACATGGAACCAAACGTGAACCAAAAAAGACAGTGGAACCAACCTAACTAACCCTCCCTCACCATGCCCTCTCGAAGGATGTCGCTGAAGGCTCAGACCTTCGGTTTAAGCCGGACCGGGCTCCACACTCGTGTAGTGCGCACTAACCTCGTCCTGGATGGGCAGGTGGAACATCAAGTTGGTTCTTCGACTCACGCCCCCTGCAAAAGGCTCAGCTGCTTCTTTTCTGCTGGGGTTCAGAGGCAATCTGAGCAAAGCGACGATCTTTGCTCTTGTCATTTTGAATCAACCAGATGTTCTTTTTGTATGTCTCCTGACTGTGCCATTTTGGGCTTGATTTTGAGTCTGTTGATTCAAGTGGGAAATGGGCACAGACTCGATACCCATTTAGGGAACCAGTTGATTCTGGGTGTCAACCCCATTCCAAACTTCCCGGGCGCGGGAAGTGATCTGTATCGAGTCCTTGGAGAGGAACTGGTCAATCTCCAGAAGGCTCGGCGGGATCTCCTGCCAATAGCGACTCCCGGGGAGGCGACCAAGCGAGCCACTCTTTAAACACCAGAAGGAACATGGATTGAGAGCTTGTCTTGTGCTGCATTTTGTTGTAAAGTCAGACATGTGGTAGCATTCAAATACCGGCCATTTCCCAAAACCCTCCGAATCCCAAGTGGCCGCCATTGTCACGTAAGGACAACGGCATGGGGTTTGTTTTCCTTTAGTGGTTCCCTTCTGCTGACCTCTCTATCCTTTCAGCAATCACCCAAAATGATGCTAAAGCATCAAATTGGTTTCCTTCCGTACCCGGCAAAGGTGGGTGACGTTCATCTAACAGGCAAAATAATGACTACTGGTTTGCCCAATTTGTCAAGTAGTCTGTTACCCCATTCCAATTATTTAGGCCATTATAGAAAAGAAACTCATGTTCGTTTTAGCACGCAGTCTCGTGGCGCGAACCCGCTGGACGCGGAGTTTTGGCGGCATCCTGCCCGGTGAGGAAGGCGAAGTCTGCGCCTTCCGCCCGCGGGTTGCCCTGAGCACCCCAGACCTGCCGGGGGGTGTGCGGGGGGGGAAGGGGCGGGGGCTGAACAGAAGCAGTGGTAAATTAGGAGCTATGCTTAAGCCTCATAGTAGGGTAGAAAAAAAGTCTGTCACTTGCTGCATTGGCATTGCGCAACTCTGGAAGCACATGTCTGCGGAACGAAGGCCAGCCCCAAACTTGGGGGACAACGCGGGTTTTTCCCAATGGCAATGTCATGAATCTGCAATATCCGTCCAAAAATGGGAATGGCACCCCATCCTTGACGCAAAACACTGCCACAAACCTACAGGGATGTGGTGCCGTCTGTACACGTTATACACTCAGCACGCGGTCCCCACCATAGTTACCATGGTCACGTTTTCACCAGTTTGCTGGAACCAAAGAGTCAACATGCTTTGGGGAGTAGAAGCGAAAGGCTTTGCACAGAGAAGCCGTGGCCTTCCGAAAGTGCTAACATTCACGTCGCGCAACGTATCTGTGCCAGGTTGTGGCAACATGGTTCCCTTACCCCCAAAGGTAAAAGGGCATTTTGACCAAATAGCACATGAGGGGCGGTGGCAAACAGGAAAAAATCGTGGCATTCTATGCATCTGGGAATCAAGCCACAACTGGCCACATATTCAAACTGCCTCCCACTGACATTGACACAGCACCTGCAGGGAGTACCCCTGATAAAAACCAGAACAGTCATATTCTGACAAATTCCAAGGGTACGCATCAGACTGACTGCATGAATGATAGAGAATTCGACCAGCAGATCGTTCCGCGCCTGCATGTTGGCCAGCAAACACCGCAGTGAGTGACCTGAGAACTCGATCGCTGGGCCAGTCATGTACGCACCGCGGGGCACATCCCCCCCCCAATATCGCCTTCCTCAACCCCCCGCACAAACCTATCTGGCAAATGCATATATGCGAGTTGTCAGAAGTATAATGGCGTATATGCTTGCGCCGGTACCCAGACGCACATCGTTACTCCCCGACATTCGTAGTCCTTATGTATTATAGGCTGCCATACGAACTGGCACGGCATGGTTATAAAGTACCCCACAAACCTATTCCAATTGTTCAGGCCCTTGTAATACTCCTGCAAGTTCATATGGAACATGAAAAAGGGGCCCCAAAATGAAGATGCCTGTGACAGGTTCCATGAAAATCTGCAGAGCGCATGGCTGAGGTCCATGTACCCCGTGATGTCGCAGAGCCAACCGCCGTAGCTTGACAGCGTCGGCACAAATGTCTGGGATTCCGCATGTGTGAGCTTCACAAGCCATCCAGCAGAAACATGGAGAGCAAGCAGCAACCCCCGCTGCATATTATATAGGTGTTGAAGTATCCACCCACCCCTAAGAGTACCATACTTCATACGCAACCACGGTTCACCATACCACAGGGCCCACAAAGTCTTTCAGCTTTCAGGACAGCGGGCATCAAGCTCCCCTTCAGCCCAAATCCTTCAGGAATCCCTTGCGACCACTTCAATCATCATCTCACCAAAGCGCAACTCATGAATCGTTTATTTGTGTTTGCTTTGTCCGCAAAAGAGACATTATTGTTCTCAAACCGAACAACATACTAACAAATCCAATGGCTACCAATGTCCCTTGGAACCCTCAATCATGCTGCGATGGGAACCAACAATGAGTCGAAGATCCTGGAATCCCTCCTTGCAGGCCCATCCTCCATCATCAGCTGCCTGAAATACAGGAAGCCCTCTCCAGCGGATTTGGTCTTCTGCGCCGGCATGGCCAAGAAGCTCGCCGAGGGTCAGGTCGAGAGCAGACTCTTCAAACGAGTCGAACCCCTGTCCTTCGATCTGGAGGAATCCGCCACTGAATTCCAGATCGGCAAACCGCGCAGTCGATTCAGTCGATGCCCCAGATCCCTCCTCTTCGGACTCTCCGCGTGCGCCTGCACCTTCAGTGTCAATGCCTTTCTATATTTGAGGGTACCCTTATCTGGGCGCTAGATATGCTAGATGACGGAGGTAGATTGTTTTGTGTTGCTCTGTAGCACCCTCTCGTTTGGGACGGAAAACAAATCCACAAGGTACCCCCCTTCTCTTGGGCCCAAGGGAAACAAAGTGGTCAATCATTCTTAGTGGGGCAAAAACACAGTGCAGCCCAAGTCGAATGGAAACAGTTCAACTCAGCACCCTTTTGTCGCACATGATTTGTGGATTCATGCCCACCCATAAAATCAGGTGGCTCGACTTGAAATCTCGTCCTATGCCAAGGGACCAACGGGACAACCCGGACCTCCCGGACCAACGGGTTGGGCTGACTCCCCGAACCCCCGAGACCCCGAGGGCTCGGCAGCTGTTGGCCTCCGCGGCCTCCGCCAGGGTGGTGCCGCCGCCCTCGATGCCCTCGCAGAGCTCCAGCAGCTGATGAAGCCTACGGCGACCGGGCGGCCGGGAAAAGACGGGCGCAGAACCCGAAAAGGGAAAAGGTGACAAGAGAACGTGGTGGGCGAACAAAGGACAACATGTTTTGGGAAATACAGCAACTGGGTGGGTCGACATAGAACAAAGTTTGGGACAACTTTGGGAAAATAAACAAACTGGGAACATGTAGGGACACGAAATCGCGGACAGGGGCTGTGGGCCACTGATCAAAGGGCTCCAAACCCCACTGGCCCTTTTTACCGGAGACAGATCCGGCCCGGGGAATGGGAACACTTGTTGGTAAGGGATATTGATGGACAACCCCGAAAGCGACAAGTCAAAAAATGTGGGAAAACCAATGAACCAAGGAAAACATGTAGATTGGGACCAAACAAATCAAGCATCGAACAACGACCAGCAAGTGTGCACTGCAGCTGGCGCCCTGCAAAGGACCCTTGCCAGCAAAATGCCGTCAGCTAGCTTCTATCTGCACCGCTTCCAACCAATCTCTTGACCAACGGACCCAGAAATGTTTTGGGGCCAATGCTAAAAACCAAACAAGGCAAACGAGTTGCAAGGCCAATCGGCAAGTAAGACCATGGATCCTACATGAGTAAGCAAATTGGGACAACCGGGCCAGCTCTGTGGGTTGAGCTACACTGAGGACGGCATGTGTCCTTCTGGTGATAGTCAATCCCAGCTCCCGGGTGATTGTCAACATGTCCCCTAGCCTAGCTTGTTGGGCTTTTGCCACGAGTGAAGACCGTTTGAAGAATTCTGGCCTGGCGTCCACTGCGTAAAGCCACTGAACCGCTGGGTATTCCAACCTTCCCCGTATCCTCCCCTGCCAAAGGTGATGCGCCCAAGAGCACCTTGGCATTCCAACAAGAACTGGAACTCGAAGCACTCTCCAAATTACGGTAGTCTCAAAAAGACCGCCATCATGGCTAGAACGCTGACAGGGATTGGCCAAAACCGTCTTGCAATCTTTATGGGGGGATGCAGAAAGGGCTTGTCCAACCATGTTTCCCAAACCAAATATCCTTTTGAAAAGCACCCCAGGGGCAGCAACTCCAAAACAAGCAGCCACATTTTGGGGGATGCTCGCGCCACCCCCAAAATTCCAGCCAGGCCAACATCTCCCCCAAACTCAAGCCCAGCTGGTATAACCTGCAAGGTTCCCCAGCCTGGAGCCCAGCGCGGTGACTCCGAGGCTCCGGGCTGATCCTCGCAGGGCGCCAGCTGCGCACGGACGAGGTCCGCGTGCTCCTCCAGCCACGCCGTGGTGGCGCGCTCCCCTGGCGACCGCTCGCTCGAGCGTTCCAGGGCGAGCGGGGTGTGGGGAGAACGAAAAAAAAAGGGGTTGCTTCCTCACCCTCCCTACGAGGCAAGGTGCCCAGAATCTTGCCACGGCATTCTGGTACAAGGGTTTTGACAACCTGGTAAACATGAGGTCTGGAGGAATCTGCTGGGGGAACCCCTTTTCGCATTTGGGGATTCGGCAAAATGTGCAAGTGGTGTCCAATCTGGGTTGGTTGACCCTGTTGTGTTTGGGTTCTTAAACACTTGCTACCCTGGCCAAACATCCAAGGATTTCGAACCCGAATCACGAGTCCGTGTTCACAACCGATTTTGGCCTGCCTCCAAATTGGGCAACCCATTCTGGGGTGGCGTTATTTCTGATGGCCAAAGAGAGACACGCCTACTAAGGCCGGAAGTGTTAAGCAGACTGCGGTTGTGGTATATTTAAGAATCAACCAAGTCATAAGCATGTAAAGAAGACATTCCCTGTCGTACTACTCACCAAAACGCTGCACGGCTTCAGCCGCCCCCAGTGCCTGTGGCACATGCACCTCGGTTTCGCCACGCGCGGCGATTTGGCGCGAGCGATCCTAAGTTTTGCGAGGGGATGCATGCGCCTCCCTCCGATTGTTAACTTTCGAGAAGTTCAATTGAATCAGTCGAATCGAATTTCATTGTTCTTGTTTCAACCTTGGTGTTTTCTTTGTGCTTGTCTCAGGACTTCAAACCAGATCCCAAGATTTAGCTTTGCACCCGTCTCCAGGAGTGTCAGCGGGGCGTGTGAAAACAAAGCGGCTTCAAGCCGTCCGGGCCGTTGGAACCAAGGGCGGTTCAATTAATAAGCCTGGAATTGATTCCCGGTTGAAGCGAAGGGAATTTTGCACAGGGCGGGAAGAACAGCAAGATCTGTTGCAAAGGTCACCAAAACTACACTTGCTGCGGCGCTTGACAACGTGCAACCTCAGACCACCAACAAAATGTGGCCGCAAGTGCGTGCATCTTAAAGCAGGGCACCCTCGAAAATGATTTGTCCTTCTGGCATCCCATTCTAAGCAACCCCAACCAGGTACCCTCAACACAAACACACCCGCATGTCAGTCTTGCAGTCAGCCAAGCCGCGCTCGGCCTCCGCCTGGCGCCGTTACTACCGGCCATAGAGGGGTCTTGTACATTTAATACCAAAGGCTCAAGCAAGCACGGCAGGATGCTTCCAAACATGACACCATCTTGCAATGGATGTAATTTGTTGCGGGGTTCCGGGGCCCTTTCGCGGACAACACAACTCGGGAATTCATGTCCACCAAGCACTTTGACGGGTGGGGCCTATCCAATTGGGAGGCTTAGAGCCCCGTCAAACGAGCCATTCAGCGGAGAGAGGCAGCAACTGCGCCCAAAGAGCTCTGCTCTCGTTTCAAAAGGACCAGCCTGACATGGCATCAATCTTGTCCATCTCACAGACAATGCCACGGTCAAATAGGTTGCCAGCTTGATAGGGATGCTCAGAAAAAAGACTCTGCTACATTCGCAGGAAAGCACCAAACATGGGTCCTCCGGGTGCTCTCTTTCGGTATGCGACTTCTCTAAAGATCGAGGATCTTTATATGAAGCGCCCTGCGTTCTCATACACCAAGAGCCGCTGGGGTCTTCAACAAGGCATGTTTCGGCCCAAAAATCTAGTTTGACCCGGGCGTTCGTTCCAACAAACAATTCTTGGCATGCAAATTGGTTTTCTTCCTGACTGATCTTCCGGGATCCCTTGCTAAGGAATGAACAAGATAAATATTGCGCGCGTGTCTTTGGTGTCAGCTTTGACGCCCTCCCTTTTTCGTAGGTTAATCCCGACATGGGGAACCCTTCAAAATGAGTGATTCGGTTTGGCGCCTGTTGAAACCCACAAAAGGGGGTTCAGTGAAACATGTGACACGCCCATGCTGGAGCATCCATGTCCCATCGAATCGGCCCCATCCCCCTTTGCCGGGCCTTTCTGGCCTGGCGCGAAAGGACAACACACCAACACCCCATTTGGCCACACGTTTTTCCGGGAAAGGTCACCGAAGCCCCAAAGAACCTCAAGAAAAACACTGAAGCCCTCGTCTCAGTTCAACCCTGAGAGGTCCATGAGACACATCAAGCAAGTCTTGGTCAAAGCACATGGCATGCCCTTGGAAAAGGAAGCTGCGCTTCAAACCTGTTGGAAAATCTGGGGGGGGGGACACTTCCTGCGACGCCACTTAACCGCGCGCTGAGCTGATCTGGCGTGCATTTCTTCAGGTCCGGAAACAGGAACGGGACCAAACAACACGCCAGAATCAATCTCCAACAAGAAGGCGTCTTGGACAAGTCTTGTGTATCCTATGACCCACGTTGCCATGTAACCGAAGGGATGTCCCTAGCTTGCACATTTTTGCTCTTCAAAGCACCCCAGTCGGGGTTTCATCCTGGCAAATGAAAGGGATGGCCGGAAACTGGTCGGCTTTTAAGAGTTGTCAAAATAGGGGGGCCCAACGAATCATCGCCTTCGGTTGAAACCAAACGAAAAGGGTGTACCCTCCAAAAAGACATACCCATATTGCAAACTATGAACCAGGAAAGACGTGTAGCTTACCATGGCTTGTGGTTTACTTGCATATCCATGTCTCCAACTGGGGGCACCCCAAAACCGGGTGGTTTTCCTCGTCCCTTAACGATCAGAAAAGCGAACTTTTTCTCCAAAACAGATACCTGGACCCTCAAACCACCCTTAAAAAGGGGAAACTCACCAACCATAATTTTGGGTTGCAACAAGCCATGCTCCCCAAAATTACATTTTGGTTGAGCAAGAACCCATTTTTAAGCTGGAATGTTGAGGCTCGGTCCAGGTACACCCATGTTTGCCAACGTCTGTCGCATTGACGTCTCAGGCCGTTCGGCCCGCAACACCGCTTGCCTCCTGTCGCTCCACGGAAGATCTGGCCCGGACGAGCCAACCGGACGCTCGACACTCGAAACGCAGAAAAGATGTAGCGCAGGTGCTTGGTAACCCGTACTTCGTGGACTTGCCATGGCTTAAGTTATAACTACAACCTTAGCTACCAACCAGTTCCCAGGCACCCTGCCCCTCCCACTAGGGATTCCATGTTGCATGGTCTTGAAAGGAAAACAACCAGAACCAGCCCCTTGCAAAGGCTTCTCCATTTTAGGATCCACATTAGTGGCATCCCTCCATCATGGCAAGGTGCATAACCAGTCTTTGGAAGACTTTGGAAAGAGCCCCCTGTGCACTTCCATTTGTGCTGGTGGGAACCTAGACGTATCTATCGATCCTTGCAAGTAGGGCAAGTGTTCAATTCAAGGAGCCCACAACATGTCCCGAATGAAATCACATGCCTTCAAACTCAGTGCTTGGGGACCTCAAGAGCAACAGTCATGCACTCTTCCCCAAGGTACCTCTTGAATCCGGGAATCTTACGTAACTCACTGCTACGCTCAAAGACAACGTGAATGGACAGGGTACGTCACGTAGGTGGCTAGCATCCATGGTTCTACCCAGGCCGTGGTTGTAAGTCCAAGCTCCGTTGGTCATGCCCACGCTTACTAACCCCTTGTCTGACGTACCTTGCCCTCTTAAGAAGCAATCTGCGTTTGGGGTCAAAGCCTGAAAACACAATCTTTGCGTCGGGCCTACTCAGCTGAAGCTTGAGAGACTTCGTAGGGGGAACTAGGACACCAGGGCAACCGAGGACGTCAAGATCGCGTGATGTCAACACATGTTTCACCAGGTTACACATAAGCGTGTGTTGGCGTGCCGCATGCACATTGCATCACATTGTCCCAGGCCGTGCTTGGCTAAAGGCTTTCAAAATCGCAGAATCTTCAACTGCTGCACTGCTGGTGTCCTTTTTGCTCAAGCCTTCCCAGTGCTTCCAGTCACCACTACGGAACCAGGATTTCTTACATCAAGCTTCTGCAAATTGGTCTCTCCTGGAAGTACCTGGAAGCACTGGGCTTCGGAGGCAAGCGGTCTTGCCTTCAAGTCGCCTGTGGCTCCGCCGGTTGACCTCACTGCCATGCAATAAACACAACCCGCAGTCCGCCGACTAGACTCCGCGCCTGGAGAACATGTCGGTGTCCTAAGGGCCGGCTGGTCACACCCACATACAACCCTTACTTTCATGGGGAACACATCCACACGTACAGCCAGGATACCACACACACACACAAAAAGATGCATGTCGCTGCTGCTATGAAAGTGGAACCCAGTCCAAACGGGTGACAATCGGTATACACACACACACAGTCTCCTTCCTCTCTCCCAAAATGATTGGCTGAGCGCTTACCTGTCGCCACCCTTCACTGGGCAAAAGCCTGGGGCCTCATGTCCCAAAGCAATCCCGTTCATTGCGATTTCGACAGGATCTGCACCAGGGTTCTTTGGTCGAAGGAAAGCAGCGCCATGGCCCAATTGCGCCCCGAAATCAATCACAGCAAAGGCAACTGCAAACCTTCCCTCCCACCCAGAGCCCTTCTGCCTTCCCTAGGGGAAAACAACGTATCCTCTTCCTGCGATGACGTCCATGCACAAGTACAAGCAAAGAAACGAGGGAAGTTTTATGCAACATGAATGCTCTCCAATGAATGGTACACATATGCCCGTCTATCACAAGGCCAAACTGAGAGACGCAATGAGTTTGGTGCACATAACGCACTGACCCAGAACAAAGGCTCATTGGGCGATCGCGTCAGTGCTCCATCAAGCTATTACCGGACTATGGCAAAACTACGAATCTGGCTGCTTGTAAATGTGGACAAGGCCCCCACCGTGCGCCCACCCACCTACCCCAAAAAAAACAATAACTGGCCAAAATGATAGGCACCAACAAGTGGGAAGCTCCTCTTGTTGAACGTACCGTACCGGTACAGCGACATGATCCCCGTTTGGTGCATGACCTGTTGGCATTCTGTGACATAACCATGAGCCTGGATCTAATGTCAGCCTGTCCAGACCCTCCGCACCGGGCTACCAACAAAAACAAATCAACTAACCGACCATCCATCCAACCAGCCAAACAACCAAAACAAACAAACAAACAAAC